TGTTGTTGTTCCCGGTGCCGAGATCAGTCATGATGTGTCGTTTCTGAAGAAGAACATGACCGTTGATGGATCGTAAAGCTCATACGTTGTGTTGAAATCCGGCACTTCGGTTATGTCGACGACGTAAATTACGGTAAAATTCTTTATTTTTCAGCAACTGAAGCAAGGACTTCATCCATCTGATAATGTAACATTCATTGGTCATTTTAATTACCACCAACATTAACAATCTTTTTCATCACGGAGGAAGGAAAAACAAGTCGATGCTAAAGCATTCATTTCATATTTGAATAAACAAGTTAGATTTTTTTTCCTTCAAATTTATTGTTGTCAAATTGATATAAAATGAAATAAATATTTAAAAAGGATTTCGATGCATGTAATCATGGAAATGGAAACTCAGCTCAGATGGTTCATAAGTTTGAAAACAATTTAAAAAAGGTAATTACTTTAGAAGAAAATGATATATGGAACTTAGTGAAGGAGGAATGACGTACCTGCATGGAAATTTCGTCCCAATCATGGCCAAAACGAATGATGACGACGCGTTCTTCCTCGGCGAGGATGGCCTGATCGACGGCCCACCCGGAGTGAAAGTGCGGCAACAGGTACGACATTGTTTCGCCTCTTCTCAATCAGTGTTATTTCTTTGCTTTCTAGATTTCCCTGTTAGTGTATGTAAATGCATGGTATATAAGTTCACGTGAACTGTGCATGATGGTTGTGCAGCTGAGGATTGATTCACTGCAGCTGATCAGTTGAAGTAGTTAGTTTGTTGAGTTAGTTACATCATCAGTTATAGCTATAGTACTAGCTATAAATACTCCCCTTGAGAGTTGTAATACACACGCATGATATAATGAATTTCAGAAGATTCATTTCTCTCATTTACTTTCTTTCTTGTTTTTCATAGATTAGACATTTGTTTCTAATCTTTACATGGTATCAGTTGCCAAAACGGTCCTGCAGTTTCTGTTTGCCTCTTTTCTTGGAGGTTCTTGGAGGTTCTTGCCCTTCTTTGACAATGGTGAACTTGCAACAAGCTGATGTTCAGTCTCCGGTGAATACCACAGTTACCTCAACGTCATATGGCTCTTCAGTCTCATCCAGTGTGCAACATATACCCAAACAAGATGTCATAAAGCTTACCGAGTCAACATACCTTCTTTGGAAGCATCAGGTGACCCTTATAATTGATGGCTATGGGTTGATGGCTTACATCTCTGGTGATAATCCTGCTCCATCTCAGTTTGTTACAAATGAGTCTGGGCAGCTTGAGGAAAATCCAGTGTATCTTGTGCATAGGCAACAAGACAAGTTGCTTGCCTCATGGTTGTTGACAACGGTTAGCATGGAGGTTTTGCCACATCTTACGGGGCTCACATCCTCTCGCACAATCTGGAATGCAGTTTCAAGATTGTTTGGAGTTCGTTCTAGTGCCAAGATTTCTTCTCTCAGACACAACTTGCACTCTCAGAGGAAAGCTGGCTTGACTGTGAGTGATTATTTAGCCAAGATCAAGACAATCTGTGATTTGTTGAATGTTGTAGGTTGTGTTGTACCTGAACAAGAACAAGTAAGTGTGATTCTTGTTGGGTTGTCAATGGAATTTGAGTCCATTATTGCTATAGCATCTCGTGATGTAGTGTCACTGGATAGTCTCACTGAAATGCTCCTGGATTGTGAGGCTAGGCAGAAAGTTTTTTTAAGCGATGGTATTACTGCGAATATGGTTGTGCAGCCAAAAGAAGAGAAAGGGACAAGGTCTCAGGCTGTCACTGAAACAAATGCAATAGAAAAGCAGTTTTATTCATGAGGTCAACAGGGAAGTCAGCAGGGAGGCTATCGTGGTCGAGGCAGAGGAAGGTTTAACAATTCAAATAGACCACAGTGTCAGTTGTGTGGAAAGTTTGGGCACATTGTTCAGCGGTGTTATCGTCGTTTTGATCGAGATTTCACTGGAGTTGGCAGTGAAGATCAGTCTGCTGAGCAGTGGAAGAAACCAGTTGAACAGATAGTTCCTGTGAATGGACATGGGTATAGTCACACGCTGCAATCTCCTGTCTTCTACTATCCATCTACCTTCATGCCTGGTATGCCTTATGCTTTGACTCGTCCAGGACTGCCTTACTCCTCGAGTCAGGTAATGAATACCTTCCCTGGTGACTGTGGAACTCTTCCTGCAAAAACAGAAGGACAAGAGTCATTTGTTCATACTGCACCTACAGCTTTTGTATCCACTGTGCCTAGTATGGCAGTAGCTCACGGTGCTCAAAACCACTCCAATGCTCTGTGGTATCCAGACACTGGTGCCACTCATCACATATCAAATGATCTTGTACCCTTCAATTCAGGTGTGTCATACAAAGGTAACAACACTCTTTTAATGGGAAATGGTGAAGGAATTAAAATTGATCATGTTGGTCAAGGCTTTCTGTCTTCTAGTCTTAGACCTCTGGTGTTACAGAATATGCTACATGTCCCACACATTAAGAAGAAGTTGTTGTCAGTATCTCAATTCACTCGTGATAACAATGTGTTTATTGAGTTTCACCCTTTTGAGTGCTTGGTGAAGGATGCACAGACTCGGAACATTCTGCTGAGAGGGAAGCTCACACATGAAGGTTTATACCAGCTGCTACCGTATGAAGAAAAGAAATCTTGTTGCATGGTGAATAATGTGACCAAGGCTTCAAACAGTCTGGAACTTTGGCATAGGCGCTTAGGACACTCCTGTGAGAAGACTGTCAAGAATGTTATGAAAATGTGTAATATTTCTAGTAGTGAAAACAAATTAAACAATGTTTGTTCTGCATGTTTACAAGGCAAGGCTCACAAGCTACCTTTTTGTAATTCGTTGACTGAATACAAAGAAATTTTTCAGCTGGTTGTGTCTGATGTGTGGGGACCTGCTCCTGTAGTTTCGACTGAAGGTTACATATATTATGTATCATTTGTTGATGTGTTCAGCAGACATACCTGGGTGTATCTAATCAGAAAGAAATCTGAAGTCAGCCAATGCTTTCTTAATCTTGTAAAGATAGCAGAGGTTCAGTTTGGGAAGAAAATCAAAGCATTGCAGAGTGATGGTGGAGGTGAGTATCAGGCCCTGAAGAGTTGGTTTTTTACCAATGGTGTACAGCATCGAATCTCCTGTCCCAGCACGTCAGAACAGAATGGGAAGGCTGAACGAAAACATCGCCACATTGTTGAGATGGGACTAACCATGTTGGCTCAAGCATCACTGCCGATAAAGTTCTGGAGTCATGCCTTTACTATGGCAGTATATATCATAAATAGACTACCTTCTGAGGTCATTTCAGGCAAGACCCCATTTGAGGTTCTCTATCAGAAAGCTCATGACTACTCTGGAATGAGAGTGTTTGGGTGTGCTTGCTTTCCCTTCTTGAGACCGTTTAATCAACATAAATTGGATTTTCGATCAAGGCAGTGTGTGTTTCTCGGGCCCAGCACTTCACATCATGGGTACAAATGTCTAGACGATAATGGCAGAGTTTTTGTATCTCGACATGTGAGGTTTGACGAACAGGTATTTCCTTTTGATAAGAATCAATTTGTGTGCAGGTGCCATAGACAAGAAATTGTCACTACTGGACAATTGCCTATATTATATAATAAGTGTGGAGCCACACTGCTTGGAAATCATCATAATGCGCATGGGGTTGGAGCCATCTCGTCTTCTGCATATAGTGATAACCTTGGGACCACACCTCTTGGAGCTATACAAGACAATGCTCATGGGACCACGCCGCTTGGAGCTATACAAGACAATGAACATGGGGCCACACCACTTGAATTAATAGCCGTTCACCATGGTGCGCATGATGGTGCGCAAAGTCCAAGTAATAGTGCCCTTGGCGTGGTGCCCACTCGTGTTGAGACTTCAAGAAATGCATGCGTTGAAGAGTTAAATAGTTATGCTCATGGTGCGCCAAATTCAAATGTGCATGGGCTCCAAGGAAGTGTTCGTGGGGTCCAAGGTAATTCTCGTGTGGCAATTGTATATAAAAGGAGGAGTAATGCGCCTAATATAGTTAATGGAGGTTGTGTTGGCAATGCACATGGGGTCCAAGGAAACTATGAAGCAACTTTAAATAATGATAATGCGCCTATAACGAACAATGGTGTGCATGTGGTCCAAGGAGATTCTCGTGGTGCACATGTGATCCAAGGAGATAGGGGTGCGGCAAACATAAATAATGGAAATAATAGTGGAAGTTATAATGGTGGCAACACAGCTTTTCGAGACAATGGTGCGCAAATTTCAAGCTATGGGACCGCCGCCCATGATAATGACGTTAGTGTGAGCAATGGGACCATGCCGAATGTTGAAAGTAGCGCGAGCAAAGTTCAATTAAATATTAATGCGCATGATGGTGGCTCATTTGTTGAGTTGGCAAATTCACGTGGTGCACATAATTCAAGTCCTTTTGAGTTGGCAAATGCACATGGTGATGGGGCCATGCCGAATATTGAATGTGGTGGTGGCTCACATGGCAATCAAGGTGCGACAAACATTAATAATGAGAGTATTTTTAATGGTTGTTCACATGGAATCCAAGAAAGTCTCGATAATGGCAATTCTGGGAGTAGTTGTCATGCACATGGGATCCATGAAGAGAATCACGATGATAGCAATTATCGTGGTAGTTCACGTGAGGTTCAAGAAGAAAATGGTACATCAGAGCCGTGCATTGAAGTTCAACAAAATGTGGAGAGTGGTGTACCACAAACAGTCTTCAATGTTCATCCCATGATGACTAGGAGTAAGCATGGAATCTGGAAACCAAAAGTTTATAACGTTGCACGTTCAGATCGAGAACCATCAAATATCACAGAGGCCTTGATGAGTCCTCATTGGAAAGAAGCTGCACAAGCCGAGTATGATGCCTTGGTAAGGAATGGCACGTGGACACTAGTTCCTCTTCCCAGAGATAGGAAGGCAGTGAACTGTAAATGGATCTTTCGAGTAAAGAGAAATGCTGATGGCTCGATTTCAAGGTACAAAGCACGCTTGGTGGCGAAAGGTTTTCTTCAAAAACCATGGATCGATTTTGATGAAGTCTTCAGCCCGGTGGTTAAGCCTGCAACGATTAGGGTAATCATTTCCTTGGCATTGTCACGGGGGTGGAAGCTGAGACAGGTTGATGTCAATAATGCTTTTTTGAACGGGCTGCTCACTGAAGAAGTGTATATGTCTCAACCACCAGGGTATGAGCAAGGCAGTGGTGAGCTGGTGTGTAAGCTACACAAGGCAATTTATGGGCTGAAACAAGCACCGAGGGCCTGGTTTGAGCGACTGAAGGCATACCTGCAATCTGAAGGTTTTTGCCTAGCTAAGTCGGATACCTCTCTTTATGTTCGAAAGACCTCGGATAGCTTAGTGTACTTACTGGTGTACGTTGATGATATCATCTTAACAGGGGATAAATAGGTGGTTGTTCAAAGTGTTATAGACAGACTGAATGCTCAATTTTCGTTGAAAGATCTTGGACCATTGCACTTTTTCCTAGGAGTAGAAGTCAGTTATGAAGGTGGTGATGTTGTTTTGAGTCAACAAAAGTATATCCAAGACCTTTTATAGAAACATGGTTTTGGGGAAGTGAAAAGTCTGCCCACCCCTATGGTTTCTAACATAAAGCTGTCAGCCAAGGAAGGAATACCACTTGAAGATGCTGCACGATACAGAAGCATCGTAGGTGCTCTGCAGTACATCGTGATCACTCGACCTGATGTGGCATTTGCTGTGAACAGGGTGTGTCAATTTATGCAAGCCCCACTGGATGTTCATTTTATGGCAGTCAAGCGAATACTTCGCTACCTACAAGGCACCATTGATTTTGGACTGCGTTTTACACCCTCCTCGAGAATGGCTCTGACTGGTTTTGCAGATGCCAATTGGGGTTCGGATGTTGATGATAGACGATCAACCTCAGGGTTCTGTATATATTTTTGTGGGAACTTGGTCTCGTGGAGCTCTAGAAAGCAACAGGTTGTTGCACGTTCAACTGCTGAGGCTGAATACAGGAGTGTGGCTTGTGCAGCTGCTGAGATGGTGTGGCTTCAATCTTTGTTGGGGGAATTGCATGTAGTTTCACATGGCAAGGCCATATTGTGGTGTGATAATACAAGTGCAGTTGCTGTATGTGCTAATCCTGTACTGCATTCCAAGTTCAAACATGTTGAGCTGGACTTGTTTTTTGTTCGAGAAATGGTGGCTATGGGACAGCTACAAGTGCATGAAGTTCCTGCAGTTGAGCAGGTTGCTGATGTGCTGACCAAGCCTTTATCAGCCCCTTGGTTTCTCAAACACAGACAAAGGTTGCTGGTGGTGCAACTTAAGAGCAGATCAGATTGAGTCTGAAGCAGGTTTGAAGTTGAAGGTTGCAAGGGGAATGTTAGTGTATGTAAATGCATGGTATATAAGTTCACGTGAACTGTGCATGATGGTTGTGCAGCTGAGGATTGATTCACTGCAGCTGATCAGTTGAAGTAGTTAGTTTGTTGAGTTAGTTACATCATCAGTTATAGCTATAGTACTAGCTATAAATACTCCCCTTGAGAGTTGTAATACACACGCATGATATAATAAATTTCAGAAGATTCATTTCTCTCATTTACTTTCTTTCTTGTTTTTCATAGATTAGACATTTGTTTCTAATCTTTACATTCCCTCTCCTCTTGGTTTGGGAAGCTACCACACCATGGAAATCTGAAAGGATGAAGAAGATTGCTGTTGAATTACCATTTTATTTGTAGCAATGCCGACCAAGGAAGGCTCTGGAAAGGTCTTCAGTCTTATACGTCGCGTAAATATGGTTAATGATCTTCCGCCCGCTAAAATAATGCCACGACTCTGATTTTGTGAATCACATGCATGACCTTATTTTACACTAAACTGGACCCCCTCCATTAGCATAATCAGATTCCGTTCTGAAAATTAACAAAAAAGGTAAACGACTAAAATAGCTATCCAATTTTAGAGTACTATCAATTTAGTCGAAGAATTTTGCAATTGAATTACTCAACTTTCAAGATATTCTCAATTTAGTAACCAACATTAAAACAAATTTCTTTCTAGTCACCAATGTTAAATTTCCTTATTAAATTAGACTTATATCACTTTCGATAAGATAATAATATATATCATCTAATCGGTTACAAATTGAGATTGAAATAAGTTTTCTAACCTAAGGTTCAAACTTACATCTTTTAGAATAACTCCCAATGACAATCACTACACCTAACTCATACATATGTTACATAATCTAATTCCCTGATTAGCCTTAGCGGTAAAAAAGAATATTGTTCACCTTAAAGGATCCATATTGGTTAAAAAAAAATTTAACAGATTGTATTACATTGAAATCACCCGATATTATTAAAAAATAATTAATTATATTTATTTTATAAAATTATTAATTTTAATGTTTATAAACATCGATTAACCTTTATATTATTTAGTTTCAATCATGTAATAAATATTGTAGTTATATATTATATTTGTTTTGAAAGTCTTTAAATTGAATCTTAAGATATGTCAATATTTCATTAGAGATATATTTATTAAATTAGAGGTCACTAATAAATTTAGTGACGAAGATTAAGATAATTTTTTAATATCGGCGAATAAATTGATAACACTTTAAAAATATGGTCATCTTTTGATAATATAAAGACTTCGAAAATATTTTAATTATATTTAATAGCTTCAAATAGAAATGGTTTAAAAAGAAATTAATTATAACTTACATGGGCCAAAATGAACCCTAAAAGCCCAATTTCGCAACATATTTGTTAGATTAGCTGCCTCCCAATTCACCATTGCCATTACGTTCTCTCGCTTCATCGGCAGCCATGGTACTCCCTTTTGCTTGGTTTCATATATCTTTAGAGCTCTATGTTATTAGAACAACTGGGTGTCCTTTTTATTTTAAAAATATCATGCGAAATCACTTTCTTCAATATACCTTTAGTGTAATATTTCCCAGATTTTATGATAGGTTACTTCTGTTTTAGCGAAGCAAGGATGACTATAGGATGCTTGAAATCTGAAAATTGGTCTTGAATTGATCGATATAAACATTGGGTTTCTCTAAGAATTCCAAGTATAAGTAAATCTATGTTATTGCAAAGTGAGGATCAATTTCTCTGGTGGTGTTGCTGTTTGTTCTTTGCGCTTGATGAAGTATAATCTAATTTCATAATTAAATAAATATTTGTAAGCATAAAAACGGTTATAATATAAAAGCAGCGAAAAAGATCGAATATAAATAACCTTACGACACTGTCTGAACTGAGCACCAAACACCGAGATGTGGTTGCACTATAGTCATGCACGTTGAATTTTGCTTGATTCAAGACCTAAAATTCTCAAAGATATTCTAAGCAGTCAAAAACTCACCAGATGATATAGAATCACTCGTGTTTATCAAGCTTAGGGACCTCTAGGCTAGATTGTATTGTAGTGGTTCTCTCATCAAGAACTACCATCACTCAAGCCACCTTCACACATACACCATCAACTATGAAAGTGGGAACGTGGATAATTATGAATTGGTATTGCAGGTGAACGTGCCTAAGACAAAGAAGACTTACTGCAAGAGCAAGGAGTGCAGAAAACACACCTTGCACAAGGTTACCCAATATAAGAAGGGTAAGGATAGTTTGGCCGCTCAAGGGAAGCGTCGTTACGATCGCAAACAGTCCGGTTATGGTGGTCAGACCAAGCCCGTGTTCCACAAGAAGGTAACTTTTGCGGCACTTTCAATTTATCCCCTAAATGGATATTACTTATACAATGAAAAGGTTGATTAGCTTCTGCTTTGTTTTTTTGTACCGGTCAGTTTGTGACGGATGCTAAGTTCTTCATTTTGGTTATTGCTATTTTCTATCCTGACTTTCTCGTTACTGTTTGCTGTCGGGTATGGATATACATCCAACATAGGCATGCTCAGAAGTTCTCATATGTTTAGAGGACGTGTCACAAGAGTTGGACAGATATTTTCAGAAAAAACAAAAAGTCCAGATAATATACACTATTTCTTTAGACTCCAAGTGTTTGTATTATACGACTGTATCCTTTCTGCAGGCAAAGACTACCAAGAAGATTGTGCTAAGGCTGCAATGTCAGGGTTGCAAACATGTCTCCCAACATCCAATCAAGGTTAGACTTAGAACATTGAAACTCTCCTGCTGTTCTATTTGCTTTATTTTTTAGGCATCTTGTTTCACAAGCTGATATTCAGTTGATTCGAGTCGGTTTTTGCAGAGGTGCAAGCACTTTGAGATCGGTGGGGACAAGAAGGGGAAGGGAACATCTCTTTTCTAACTAAATGTGTTAACTCATATATAATATACTTTGTTAGTTTTACTTTGCTGCAGTTGTTGGAACCAAAAGCAATATAGAATTTTGTTGAGTTTGGTTTTAGTTTTCTGATATAGGGGATATTTTTTTTGTTTTCATTACTTAATGACATCTGTTATTGTCACAATTAGTAATTATTTGAATTTGATTGCCTTCAATTAGTTATTAGTTTAAAGATTAATTTAGAATAGGGGGTGTAGTTTGGAGACATCTTATACAACTCTCTTTTTTTAGTAAAGTTTGAAATTCAATTACGAATTTTGATAAAAATATAAAACACTAATATAAAATAGATAATTTAAATAAATTATGTATTTATATAAGTACATATACTCCTCAAAGAGCTAGCAGTTAGAGGATTCAACTTTAGGAAAGAACACCATATGTATGTCAAAACAAGTTAGGCAACCGGAGCTAATCAAGTGCGGCTTTGTTTTTACGACCAGATACTGGATTCGACAATCCGTCAAAAATTGCGGTGGTCGAAAGTACTTGTAAATCTGGCTTTAAGCTCCATTTTGATGCTGGCCATAGGGATGACAAACTAGTACCACTGTCTGGATCTTGCAAACTTGGCGTGCTAGGTGATTTCTTCACTGCCGAGAGTTCATGAATCAAGTAACCGTCTCCAACACATGTTGTAGTTGGGCTGAACCCCATCTCGGTATAGGCTAATAAGTTAGTGCGGCTTCCTGCTTTGGATCTCAGAGCCAAGCATTTCGATGTAAACCCTCCGCCGCTGGTGTTATCCTCTAACGTCTTTGCAGGAGTATGAGTGAAAAAGTCGGCTTCGGATTTTGTCCGTCTTCTGAGCCTTTTGTCTCTTGACTTATCGAGTTCACCTTCTTTAGCTTCTCCAGGAGACATGATATAAACTCTCAGTTCATCATTCTCATTAAAGAATCCATTAGCTTCACTTCTACAATTCCGACGAAGCTTCGAAGGCGGGTTGCAAGCAGAAGAGGGTTTCCTGAATGTATCATCCTCCGAACAATTAACTTCTCCTTTCCTGTATACCGCCATCTCAAAAGCTTTGGGCATCGTATTTATTTGTACTTGTTTAAGGCCATAAAAACCTTGCAATGAAGTCATTGCACGGGAGACCCTTGGAGGAGTCATTTTCGGCCTTATAGACTGGAATGAGTCGAACAAATCAGGAGGCAAATCTCGCGCAGGGTTTCGGTTTGCACTGCTTTGTCTGCAAAGAGTTATGAGACGGTAATTTTCTGAAAAGCACTAACTCAGATGTAATCAACATTCAGATAGTAAGTTTTTAAATGCAAATAGAAGCTCATTCGAATGAATGGGAAAAGATTTTATAAATGCACTAGGAATATTTGTTTAAATGGCTGAGCAATTACATGTTTTGAAAGATTTTTCTGACCCAACACGCAATAAAAGTTGTTCTATATTCATTAAGAACACAGCAAAAGACGAAAATTTCTTCATGACTAAAAGGAAAATGTAATAAGTGAATGCACTTTAATTGCTTCTTTGCAATATGATCATCTAAGCTGCTTACTACTTTACTGCATACAAAGAAGCAAATAAAAACTGCATCAAATGGTTTGAGAAAACCATATCCACAATTAACCATCCGAGTCAAAATCATAAGAAGACGTCACTTATCAAGCATTGTAACAACCCGACTTTTGTCCAATAAATACCTCGAGTTAGGCTCTTGAGCCGTGATGAATCCAGAAATAATTTTTAGGGTGAGCATATATATATATATATATATATATATATATATATATATATATATATATATATATTAACAACACAAAATTTATGTATGTAAATGGACAAAAATAAAATTGTAAGGATAAAATAGATAATTAACATTAAAAAAAATTGGATTTCAATACCATCCTAAACCATACTTTAATCCGCCACGACTGCTCTGGATTTATGAAACTTAACATGCACGGGTGCAAATATGAAAAGTACATCTTATCTTAGCAGCCCTAAACCATTTTGATGCATAAGAGAAAAAAGGTATAATACCCTGGTATTTCGGAAACGTTCGACAAGCAAGGCGATGGCGGATGCCGCCCTGGTAAAGGGATCCGAATTGACTTAAGAGCAAACATTTGATGATCCGTAACCAGACTATTCATCTTTTTTATGTCAGCTACCTGATTAATTCACAAGCACACATGGCAACACCAATTTATCAAATACATAAACAAACCATAAATAGGAAACTATAATAATAAAGAAGAAGAGCAATAAACAATTCGAGTTAATTCCTACATTACCCATTGGTGAGTTTCCCCACTTTCAATAATATACAAACATGCACGTTTACGAAAAAAGAAATCACGGAACGATTGGAATCGTAAATTGTTACCTCAACGCCGTATTTGATGGCGACGCCGGCCAGAGTATCGAAACGGGAAACGGGATGTTGAATGAAACCGTCACGTCGTGATGATGAATCCGGCAAACCTCGATTCCTCTCTTTCTCAAAAACACTGTTCTCGTCGCAAAATTTACTATAACTCTCATCCGTGTTGTAACTGTAATCTCCATTTATGATGCTGTTCCCCCGCTCTCTTCCCATCAGCAGATCCAACGAGAGAGGGGAAAATGGTGAAATGGAATTAAGTTAGAAATTAAACGGATAAGGAGTTCCCTCCAGATAGTTTTCTCTGCTTCCAGGGAAAAGATGACAAAAAACAATAGCAATATAAATAGTGGAAATCAAAATAATATAGATACATATAAATAATTACAGCGTGGAAAATATTAAAAAATAAACTAAACTGAAACTTTTTAGGTTTAAATAATTTTTTCTGTTATTTATTCAACCCTAACACGTTTTGAAGTTATTTTTAAATAATTTTAGTTTTTATATTAATTTTTTAAAAATTAGAACTTTAACCGACTAAATTTGAAAATTATGACTTATATATAATATATGAACTAATGTAAATTTTGATTTAATAAAATTTACGATTACTGATTAAGTTATGGATGAAACAATATTTGTTAAGTCTAAATCTTTGACTGCACACATATTTGTTTACCAGGAGGTTTGTTGTATGTGAACGAATGGAACAGATTTCAATATACCTCAGCAGCTGCATTTCTTCTTGCTGTTTATTCTGGTTCTCTCTCTGCCGCCATTGCCAAGCTCGCTTGTCCCGACTGCGAAGTTCAACCTCACAGAATTCTCGGTTCCATCAGGTCACAGGTAAGTCTAAAACCGAGATTTAATTGATTCATGCAGATTTTCTTAGAACATGATCGAATATGCATGTGTCCGACACTTGCATACGAATCCAAGTAAATACATGTTTCGCTGAAAAACAACATTGGTTCTACTATTGCTTGTATTTGTTGCACAGACTAATTACATCTTGGGGGGGAAATCCCATGTCATTTATACGACTAGAAATTAAAATTTTTATTTACTAGGTCCACGTCTACCACCATCGAATCAGCCTCCTCCGATCGCACCATCTCTTCCTCCACGACCACCACTATCCCTACCCCAACTCCTCCCGCCACCTCTTCCACGGCCGGAATTCAGCTTTCGGTTTTGTTTCATCCACAGACAAGGAACAATTATGAAGCTCTGATCCATTAAGTTCTAGATCTTTGTTCAAACTATCCTCATCTTTGAAATCCAAGTAAGCGAAGCTGGACTCGATTCCATATTGTTACGAAATTGGATAAGACGATGACAATAAATTACAAATCAATTGGAAAAAAAACAGAATGAACACCAAGATTTTACTTGGCATCATCACCCGAGCCAAATGATATTTAGGTCACGATCTTTAAACACATGTGATCAGATGTGGAGTACAACTTGAAATCACAAGACTACTAGCAAGATATTACTCAGACTTGGGTGCTTAGGATATGAACATGTGCAGTTTTACACCTAAGATTTCCATGTATTTGAAGGATCCTTCAACAGACATATCCCTATACCCGCAAAACCGGAAAAGAGGGACATGGGTGTCATACTACAACAAGAAAAATGAACTCACAGCAGCATATATTCAATTAACAACAAAATTCTCGATGACGATATAAACAAACCCTTTCACAGCACTGGTACCCCAATCTACTGGTATCAACACCCTCGTAATCTCTGCACAATAACCAAAGTGCTCTTCCAAGGAATTATTAATCTGGAAATGGTTCAGACAAGGCGGATATATACGGATAAATTTCAAAGAGGAAAGGAGAGAGCAACAGAAACTAATATTTATACCAAAACACTAACCTCATCCTGACCAAAAGATTGATCAAACCGTTTGACCAATATTGTTCAAGACTCACCTTTTCCACCTTTCTGGAAAGAATTGTTCTCATTGCTGCAAAGACAGTGCAGGAAAAAAATACATTAATCCAATCAAATACTATGTCTAGATCAAGGGTCCGAAAGATAAAAACATATCTAAGTACCAATTTATGTATCTGAGACAAGGAAAATTACCTGCTGTACAGTGTATATTCACCGCTTTCGTGAGTGAAATCAAGTCTAACAGCAGGATTCCGACCAGATTGAAGAGATGAATGAAAACAAGCAATTGCCTTCTTTACATCCTAGTGTGATGCAAACATGGTTGATAAAAATATGTGCAGGAAAAATAAGAGAAAGTGGGACTATACGAATGGGACATCATACCTCTTCATCGGATTCCTCCTCCGAGCTGCTACCACTGGAAGCAGTTTTAGCCTTTGCACTCTCTGAAGGTACATTCTTTGCAACACAACTTGGCAAAGTAACCTTTTGAGGAGGTTTCTATACAAGTATACATACAGTTGGTGGAATTTTATAAATATCTAAATACCAATAGAAAAGGCAGGACTTATAAGAACCCTAGTCTATTATTAAATGAAATTCTCAGGACTCAAAAGCTTTGCAACACATTCCAAATATTCAATATTGCAACATAGCTGGCATCTCGACACTCACATGTTCATCCGAAGAGCTATCACTAGACTCCTTTTTGGCAACAGGGGTGGGTCCTTTCTTAGAAGAAGGCTTTGATTTTTCCTGCATGTGCAAAGATATTACATTTATCATTATAATAAAAAAAAGCTCCCAATCAAATCGAAAAGAAACATCTAGCACTTGCTTCGTCTTCATCCGAGCTGCTATCGTCGTCATATCTAGTAAGTCTTGCGCTATATCTAGTAATAGTCCCAATACTCACATCATTGTCAGAAGAAGAATCTGAACTGTTATCAGCTCTCACTGTCTTAGCAGCTGGAACAGAGGCTTTTGTAGCAACTGCAGGTTTTTTATTCCGAGCAGGAGCTTCCTGCGGGAAAGTCAAAACATTGAACGATAAAAAATCATAAAAATAACATCTGCAACCATATAAAATAGTTACAAGAATGAGCGAAATATTCACTACATTGGAGGATAAATATCTGTCACTACTACTCTGAAGAACCCGAATTGCTAGCTTGTTTTGCTTTCTTTGCAGGTACAGAGCCATTCTTCGCAACAATGGGGCATTTCTTCACAGGACGTGGTTCCTGGACCAAAACAATTACCATAAAGTGGGCGAAACAGATACAAACATGGCTTCATCTGCTTCATTTTTACAATCACACAAATGTACTGACTAGTTACTTAAAGAGAACTTAGAGCTTAAATCATGTAAGGAACCTATTCAAAGCAAAACATATAATGAAAAGTGAATTATCAGCAGGCATCGGTAGAGCAACAAATTTAGCATATAAGTAAACCAATAGTAGGTTGTCACATACATAATCAGAATCAGAAGAATCATCAACCAGTGCTGAGCTTTCACATATGTAATCGAAATCAGAAGAGTCATCAGAAGAACTACTAGTTCCGTATTTATTCGTCTTCGTCGTCGTCTTAGCTTCAACCTTCATCTTTACAATAGCCTGTGCTACACCACCGTTTTTCATCTGCCTTTTTGCAGCCACTTGTTTCTCAGGAGTCTCAAAACACACATAATTGTCAGAAGAAGAATCTGAACTGCTATCAGATTTCACTGTCTTTGCAGCTGGATCAGAGGCTTTTGTAGCTACTGTAGGTTTTTTATTCCGAGCAGGAGCTTCCTGGAAAGCCAAAAACATTGAACATTAACAATCATAAAATTAACATCTGCAACCATACAATGTTACAAGCATAAGAGTAATATTCATTTCATCGGAGGATAAATCTTCGTCACTGCTAGAGTCTGAAGAATCTGAATATCTAGCTTGTTTTGCTTTCTTTGCAGGTACAGAACCATTCTTCACAACGGCCGGCTGTTGCTTCACAGGAGCAGGTTTCTGGATGAAAAACAAATAACCATAAAGAAGCAAAACATATACAAACATGCGTTCATCTACTCCATTTTTACAATCACACGAATGTATTGCCTCGATACTTAAAGAGTACTAAGAGCTTAAATGATATAAGGAACCCATTCAAAGCAGAACATGTAATGAAAAGTGAACTATCAGCATACATGGATGTCGAGAGCAACAAATGTAGCATCATAAGTAAACCAGTAGTGGGTTTGTGAATACATAATCGGAGTTAGAAGAGTCATCAACCAGTAGTGGGCTTTCGCATATGTAATCGGAATCAGAAAAGTCATTAGATGAACTACTAGTTTCATATTTCCTCTTCGTCTTAGCTTCAACCTTCTTCTTTACAATAGCCTGTGCAACATCGTCGCTTTTCTTCTGCCTTTTGGCAGCCACTTGTTTCTCATGAGTTTCTTTAGCCTTTCTCTTACCTATATATAATCATATAAAAAGGATGTCAAATAAAAACCCACAGTTTCATAAACACAATAAACAAATAAAACCATAAAACAAGCAGTAATTTCAAATTATACCTATATATTTAAATTTCAAAACCCAAAAAGACTTATATCACAAATGTGCATAAAGTATGTCAGATTTTTCATCTAGGTACCAAAAGTTTTTTTGTTAAACTATGTGCCTAAAATATATCATCTGTTTCATCTAGATACTACGATGGTAAACTAAAATATGGTAAGTTTAGGTATTTAATTTGACAAAAAAAATTAGTTAAATAAAAAAGATGGCATGGTTTAGGTATCTACTATTTTTTATCAGTTAGGTGTCTACTGTTGAATTAAGCCAACAGAATTTTACCTTTCTTTCCAGATCGAGGAGCTAGAGCAGGAGCTGCTTCAACCTACAAGAAAAACAGCAACTATCCTTTATTCTAGTTTTTGGCTAATTTTGCGAGACTGAAGTAATTTTAAATGTCCCGTAATTGAATCTGATCTATCAACTTTTCTCATCTAAAAGGAGAGGAAGCTGGAAAAAGCACACACACAACGACTCAAAGAAGTTGCAAGACCCTAGTGTGAAGGTATTTATGGAGATGGGTCTTGGGTTTGGAGTGAAAAAAAAATAAACAGTCAAGGAACTGAGGAATTTACTTCTTTGTTTTCTCATGCGGAGGAACGACGATCGTGAGAAAGGGGATTCCTTCGATTATCTCACCAGGCTTTACTTCTTTGTTTTATTTCTCGTTTAATTTATAGTTCTTTGCTTTGTTCGTTTACATTGGTATTTGTATAAAAAATTTCTCCCTCGTTATTAATAATTACCAGCTTAATTTAAAAATGAATTATGTTTTTCCATAATGTTAATTTTATGTTTTAATAATTATAATTAAAAAGTAATTCTGACAATAAACAAATACGATATGTAATTAAATCATCCAATCCATCACTAAGAGTATCAAGCTCTCTTAATCTTGCAAATGATGAGAGTTTTCAGCTGGAGAACTAGCAAGGTATTTTAAAGGGCATGAGGCAGGGAGATCTGATTGGGGCAAGGATATGGAATCATTTGGATACTTGTGCACATTGATGGTAATTACTAATGATTATGTCAAGATGCATCTGAAACCAGACATCACCTTTGCAGCTTTTACTTGGGCAAATGTGTGGTAAGATGATGCATATTTATCTGGCAGCAGGAGATGCTGTAGTTGTGCTAAAAGTAAATATAAATATAGACACAGAATTGCAAAAAATATCAAAATGGTAGGATAATTTTCTGGTTACTTAACAAACAAGACATTTAAAATTGTAGCAACAAATTCGACATAATAGTTGAAGAAAAACAAAACTGAGTTTAATCCTAAACCAAAACATTTCCATTTGAAACTACTCCACGCTTCATTAATCCTCATCATTGAAAGTAGTCTTCTTTCCTGCATTTCATATTAATTAATTAATTAAATTATTAGATAAGAAAATAAATAAATTAGCAATAAATAATGAAAAAAGGAGAAAAAAAAGGCAGCAGCAGTAGGAAAAAAAACCAGTGCCAGCAGCAGCAAGATTTGGTTTATTAGGTGTTCCACGTCCACCTCTACCACCACCAAATCGGCCACCTCCACGCCTACCGCCTCGGCCACCATCCCTTCCGCCACGACCTCCACGTCCACCACCATCCCTTCCGCCACTCCATCCACCACTCCTTCCACCTCTTCCACTACCCGGACCACCACCAAAATCACCTTTCGGTTTCGCCTCATCGACAGTCAAGTAATAATTATTAAGTTTCGACCCATTAAGTTCCAGAGCTTTGTTAAAACTATCATCATCCGCGAAATCCATGTAAGCAAAACTGCAAAGTGTTTCATATGATCAGATATACCACTAAAAATCACAAGAATACTAGAGTAAAAAACTTTAAGAATACTAAAAACTACAGCAACAAGATACTAACCCTTTCACAGAACCAGTTTCCCGATCTGTTGGTATCGCCACCCTAGAAATCTCACCACAAGAACCAAAATGCTCTTGCAAGGAATTCTTGATCTGGAAATGTTTTAGACACAAATAAATTTCAAAACCCATGAGGAAAGGAGAGAGCCACAAAAACTGATACTTAAAAGCAAACCACTAACCTCATCCTGGTCAAGAGATTGATCTAATCCTTTGACAAATATTGTTCGAGATTGACCTCTTCCTCCTTTCTGGAATGAACTGTTCCCATCGCTGCAAATGTGCAGGAATCAGTTGGAAGCATCAATGTAATTAAATAGCAACATCTAGATAGAGAGTCCAAAAGATATAATATACACACACACGGAAACAAACTCTCATAACAAGATAGGGAGAGATTACCCGCTGTGTGGTGTATATGCGCCCCTTTCACGAGCCAAATCAAGTCTAACTGCACGATTCAGCAAATATTCACCATTCAACTCTAGTGCCTGCAAAAAGGAGGATGTAGACTAATAACTTCAAAACAGTCTCCAAATTAATTATATACAAAAAAGTCAAAGGGAAAACATTTAACTGGTCACTTGCAGATTACACAAACAAAACATAGCTTATACACCAGATATCCATGTACGATCCAACATTGAAAATCGAGAAAACCTACCTTTTGTGCAGCCTCTGCTGTAGAAAATTCAACATGTCCATAGCCCTTAAAGTTCCCTTCAGGGTCAGAGGAAAAACGGACTTCCACAATTTCACCAGCATCTTTGAAGAAATTCTTTCTACAATATAAGAATAAGAAAAATGAAAATATTTCATTTAAAAAACCAATTAAGTGGTATCAGATAACCTAAACATACACATCAGCTTCTTCAACTTGAAAAGATAAGTTTCCAACAAACAGAGTCTTTGATCCAGCAGCTTGAGGGGTTGCAGGAGTTTGGGGCTACAAAAAAACCTCCAATCAGATTTTGACCGGCTTGACAAAATTATGAATAACAAGCAATCGGGGTACACTTGAAGGAAACAAAGGGATATTTGTAATTACAGCTTTCTTCTCAGACTTAAAATCCTGCTTGGCAGGTGTTGAAGCATCAATCATTTCAACATCTGTATCCTGATTCCAATATAAAAGCACAACACTACATTAGGCAATCATCACATCAACTTTCAAAAATTAAAATAAAAAACAGTTCTAAAGATGCTGTACTTTTTTCTTTGGGGCTTCATCTTCATCACTTTCCTCATCATCTGATGATTCCTCAGAATCTTCCTCTTCACTACTGCTTGCTTTTTTAACAGCTTTAGCATTTGAAGCAACCTTTGGCTACAAAATATAGATATACAACTCAGTAAATTGATCTGAGAAAAACAAAAGCATCTGAAGAAGTAATAACAAAAAATAAAGAGCCATGAGCAAACTGAAACTGCCATTTTATCAAGTTCAAAAATTTAAGCACACCTTTTCGTCATCAGAGTCATTACTGCTGGATTCCTCGACCTTCTTGGCAGGAGGAGCAGAAGCTTTCTTCACAGTAGTTGCTTTCTTGGCATCCTAGTGCAGTGCAATACAATCATTAACAAATATGAACAGGGGGAAATACAATGCAATAACTAGATGAATGAGATATCACACCACATCAGAATCCTCGTCGGAATCCTCCTCAGAGCTGCTCTCACTGGATGATGATTTAGTCTTCACAGAAGATGCAGGCAAAGCAGCCTTTTGAGGAGGTTTCTATACAAGTACAAATTCAGTTAGTGGAATAAATAAACATCAATATCAATTCAATACCAATAGAAAAGGCAGGTCTTATTGGGACCCCTAGTCTATTATTAAAACCAAATTTCTACATGCATATTCAGAAGACTTGAATGCTTTGCTACAAAATCAAAAGTTCCATTTATTTTAAACATTGCTGGCATCCCAACACTCACATCATCTTCATCCGAAGAGCTCTCGCTTTCTGAACTATCACTTGATTCCTTCTTAGTAACAGAAGTAGGTCCTTTCTTAGCAGCAGGCTTCAGTTTTTCCTGTATTTGCAAAATATTACATTCATAAATTAACATCACAAAAGCTCCCAACCAAACTGAAAATAAACAGGCATTCAACAATCAAGCACTTACTTCCTCTTCATCTGAGCTGCTATCTTCATCTGAACTGCCAGAATCCTTATCTTTCTTAACAGGTGCAGCTCCATTTTTAGCAGCTACTGCTACGTTTGTTTTTGAGGCAGGCTCCTAAACCAAATTTCAAAATAAATTCAAGAGATTAATAATAATTCCGGCAATATATATCTAGTAATTGCCTCAACACTCACATCATCCCCGTCAGAATCATCATCAGAAGAAGAATCTGAACTGCTATCAGCTTTCACTTTCTTAGCAGCTGGAACAGAGGGTTTTGTAGTAGCAACTGCGGGTTTTTTATTCTGGGCAGGAGCTTCCTGGCAAACCAATACATTGAACACTAACGATCAAATATCATTATACATATCTGCAACCATACAAAAGTTACAAGCATGAGCATGATAGTCACTTCATCAGATGATTCTTCCTCGCTGCTAGAGTCTGAAGAACCTGAACTGCTAGCTTGTTTTGCTTTCTTTGTAGGTATAGAACCATTCTTGGCAATAGTCGGCTGTTTCTTCACAGGTGCAGGTTCCTGAACGATAAAAAAACAATAAAAAAAGGCAGAACAGATACAAACATGCTTCCATATGCCTCAGTTTACTATCATGCGAATGATTGTCTACGTGCTTAAAAAAGAGAGTTAAATGTTCAAAACATTACAAGGAATCTACACAAAACAGAACATATAATGAAAAGTGAACTATCAGCATAAATCAACACCAAAATATCAAATGTTACAGTAGTGGGTATTCTCATACATCTTCGGATTCAGAAGAGTCATCAGACGAGCTACTGGTTTCATCTTTCTTCTTCTTCTGAGTCTTAGCTTCAACCTTCTTCTGTACAACAGCCTGCGCTACGCCATCGTTTTTCTTCTGCTTTTTGGTAGTCACTTGTTTCTCAGGAGTCTCTTCAGCTTCTCTCTTACCTATATATATAATCATAAAAAATGATCAAAAACAAAAACACATAATCTCATAAACACGGAAACCCATAAAAAGCAGCATTCACACGATGAATATCAACCTGAAAAATATTGAAGATTTATAACACATAATTGATGCTACACCATAAAGAAAAAGATTTCAAATTTAAAACCCAAAATAAAAAAGAATACCTTTCTTTCCAGGCAGAGGAACTGCAGCAGGAGCTACTTCAACCTATAAAAGACAGAAAAGGAAACAAAATTAAACCAAGGCAAAGGGCTTAAAAGAAAAAGAAAACCCATAAAAATCAACTGTGTATAATTTCTTTTAAAATAATGAAAGAAAGAGGCGTACTTTTGGGGTTGATTTCTTGCTTGATTTCCCCATTGTTGAGAGTGAAGAGATTTGAAATGGGAGTTGAGATCTTTTATGGGGTTTGAGATAGATTAAAAGAAAGAGCGGCTCGATGCAGAAGAGTTGCAAAACCCTACTTTGAATATTTTTTTGAGCTTGTGTTTAGGGTTTTGAGTGAGGGACGCAGCCGAGCAAATGAGGAATATATATATAACGTTTTGATTTTAGTTAGTACGCTAAACGCTTTCAACTATTTGCCAAAGAGCGCGCATTAGGGTTTTTGCATGTCCGCAAAACTATAACGGATGAATTTGCACGTGTGACATCCTCGACCGTCGATCCCATCTTCAAAGGACCCTGATGGTTGATTGGATATTCTGGTATCTTTTAATTTCCGTTTTTAACTCGTCTAAAAGTCGAATTATTTATAAGTACATAATTATAGTTCTATATTTATGTGACTTTAAATAAGAATTCAATGGACCGGCCGACCGGCAGTAATAAGAAATATTATTTTTTTAAAGATTTAAATTTAAACATTTATATTCGCAATAGGTGTTATAAATTAATAAAAAAAATATTGAAAAGATATTACGTTATCTGAGTCAGTTATTAAGGGAACACTTAAGGGTGCGTTTAGTTCACGGAATGTAAGATTACCAGTGGGAATAAAAGATTACCATTGCTGGGAATGTTGTATTTTGTGTTTGGTTGGTTTAGCAAGAATGTAAAATTATTGTATTTGATTAAAAGAATACAAGATTATTGGAATGTATATTTGATCAAAATGTCCTTATTATATATTTGTATAATATTACAAATTGTAAAATATTTATATATTTTCTTTAAAAAATTAAATTCATAATATTTATATAATTTTTTTACAAAAATAAAAATATAAAAAATGTTTAATGAAAGGGTAAAAAAAATTAACCCCTGAACTTCATATAAAATTTTAATTATAAACTTTTTTTTTGTAAATCTAAAATAATTTAAGGATAAATTTGTAATTTAACATTCGTAGAATTTTTATTATTCAATGACAGAAAATGATATTTTTGGGGAAAAAATAAAAATTTAAGGGTATTTTAGTCCAAAACACCAATAATGTTACAATACCTAAGGGAAGGGAGGTAATGACATTCATGGTAATATACCCCAAAAAATCTACTATTGGTAATAAAACATTACCAGGAATGAGATTCTCGGCCAACCAAACATGGAAATCCCACAATCCTTAAACCAAACACCCCCTAAGAGATTGCTTGGGACCCTAATTTTTACATGACGTTATTTTAATCTTGTTTTTTTATTTTTAAAATTGAGATTTCTAATTTTTAAAATTTATTTTTTATCTTTATAATTAAAGACTCAAATTTACTTTTGTAAAAAAGTGAGATTAAAAAAATTGGGGCATCATTTTTTATCTTTATAATAAAAAATCATAATTTTATTCATCTCACTTTTTACCTTTATAAATAAGATCCTTAATTTTTTTAATTTTATTTTCTACCTTTATAATTGTGAGTTCTAGTTTCTTCTAATTTCACATTTTGTTTTTATAATTGGGGCTCTTAATTTTTTTTAATTTCACTTTTTACATTTATAATTGAGACCTCTAGTTTTTTAATATCAATTTTTAGCTTTATAATTGAGGCCCATAATTTCTCGATTTTCTATTCCTTTCTTCATCCTCTCATTAATTCATTTAATTTTAAATTAAATATAATCATATTTTTTCCTTTCTTTTTTTAAAATTGTATTCTTTAATTTATCAAATATTTTTTTAACTCTTAGTATTCTCTAGTCTCAATCTAATGATAAAATGTCAAAATATTTTTTATTTTTTCATTTGTTGTTAAAAATCAAGATCAGTATCATACCCAAATTCATTTTTTTTATCTTAGTTGTATTTAAGGTGTTTTCTTATAAAAATAATAAAAATAATATTTGATAATATTTAATTGTTTTTATACGGCTTGTTAATATAATATTAAATTAATTATTCAAAGTAATAAAATATACTTTCATTCTATAAAGATTTATTTTTTAATTTCGGGCCCGAAAATATGGGAGTTGACTTTGTACCTTATTATCAATTCAAGTCGGTAAGGCAGGTTTTAGATCTCGATAAAGCAACTAAAGACTTCCAGCGCATATAGGTAACTAGCCGCCTCTCGGAAAGTGGAATCGTAGGTCAACGGGTGACAACGGTAATTATGGCAAGCTAACTACTAGGAGAACGGTTAGTGTACCAACAAATGAGGAAGGCGATCCAGGCGTCGACGTTCATTCAAGAGGCTCGAGAGACTTTGAGAGGACATTCTCTTTCTCAAGCAGATCGTTGGATCTGCGACCTATCATACAACTCTTGCATGTTTTCGTGGTTAGGTGGCTTGGCCCGTCCAAAGATAGATATAGATCGGTTGGCACTAGATCCACTAGATAGGGTAGCGGTACAGACAACTATGGATAAAATTACGTTTGTTTCGTCGGGTCAGTAAATATACCCAACATCTATTTTGACTATAAATGATACATAGAAGTGTAGAGAGTGGTAGCGGCCATTGACTACTTGGGTCGGGCCTTGCAACCAATTTTTACATGGTCCAAGAAAATCAAAGGTCCACTTCCACGAGTTCATTTATATCAAATCTTAATATCATAATAGCTTATATAGTTATGATTTTTTAGGTCTATTGACTTTTAGGGTTTGTAAACGAGAAGAGACAGATCGCGAGCTATTTAAGTTTATCTTGGTTAAAACTCGATCAATACTTGAATTGAATTGACTCGAAATCAAGTTTTTAAAAAGTTGAAACGAGTTATTTAATACTCAGCTCAAAAAACTTGTAAGCAACTTGAAAAAAAAATATATTAACATTTAATGATGTATTTTTTATGCAATGTTTTCATGTACTTAAAGTTCATGTTTAAGTTCGAGCTCAAGTTTGAATTGAATTCAAATTTTAGTTCCAATCGAACTAAGTCTGAGAATGTTTTGAGTTTAATTTTTTGAGCTCAAGTTGAGCTTTATTTTTTAATTTTGAATTTGAGTTGAACATAATAATTTTAAACTTACGAATTTTTTAATCGAGATTAACTTAGCTTTAATCATCTCGAACCGAGTCGAGTTCAATAATACTTGAACTTAACTTGACTTATTTACAGCCCCATTAATCCCTTCAAATTATTAAAAATTGAATTTAAATAAAAATAGACTCGGTCACGTTATGAATGAAAATATTTTCTTGTCGGTGAACTTGGAAACTCGTAAAGGACCTAAACAATTTGAAGGCTTCGATATTTGTTAAAAGTCAATATCCTCATCTAGGAGGCCATTTGTACTATTTATCTTTTATTTTACCGTCGTAATGGGTATATCGTAACACTTTATCAATACGATATGATTCAAATATTAAGTATCATTCTATTTATCAAAATATTCAATATAGATTTATATTTAGGAATTATTATTGAACGTGATTACAATTAAATGTTTTCATACATCCTACAAATTAATGTCAAAATTAAAACCTTAAGTTATCAACTTCAATTTAACATGTTTATAGATTACATGTGAAATTACAATTCAGTTGAACTTTAAATCAGATTTCAATTGCATAGACATTATAATTTAAAGACTAAATTATAAAGTCTTACTTAATTTATTTATTATCATACAATTTTTAAGTTAATGATTCAAATGTCACACCTTAAGTTAGGGGTTAAAATTCTTATGACTTTTGAAATAGCTTCCTAATTAAAAATGGTGGGTTCATAAGAAATATGGAGAATATTTAGAGACTTTATATATAAATTTCCATTTCTTGGTTACTATGAAATTGAGAGATTTATAGAATATGTGAGATTGATATTGTTTATGAATAGATTTGAAGTTTGATTGACAAATATTATTACAATTATTTTATTAAAAATAACGAGGGCCACACAATACATAGATGTTTTTTAAGTATGGGGTAGTTCGGTTTTAAAACCAAGAATAGGGATGACGATGAGGAAATCGAAACACAAGTTCCATACTTATCAATGGAAGATTCCAAAGTCAAGGCTCGTTTGGCTGTGCTTGCTAGTCACTTGTCAGCTCTTCATTGCTCCTCCACCAACCTGAATTCCTCCCTCCTCGACCAATGTTGTGTGTCGGCTCAGGCCGCCCCTTGCTCTGTTGGCGGTTCTTTAACCGTCGTCGACGAGCGAACCGGGAAGAAGTACCATGTCCTTCTCTCCTCTGAAGGCACCGTCAAAGCTACTGATTTAAAAAAAAAACGATCTGAAAATTTACGATCCGGGTTACTTGAATATTGCTCCCGTTCGGTCGTCGGTTTTTTTATATAGATGGAGATGAAAGAATTCTTAGATACAAAGGGTACCCAATTGAAGAATTGGCTGAGAGTTCCTCATTCTCGGAAGTTGTTTGGAAGATCTCAACGGTGGAGATGTCCCACTTGGCAGCGAGAATTTCATATAGAAAATCTAGCTTCATCGGAAGGTGACCGACGACGATATAGATGTTTTTAATTCATGGAAGTCGAATGGTAACTTGTAGATCTACGATCATTGGAGAGGAATCTTGTTGATTTGATGCCATAACAGTGACGAGGAGATCAAGGCGCTTCGAACAATATAAATTAGATTTTGAACGGTGATTAGAGTCGGCGACCGACGAGATGGTCACCGACGTTTGATTTCCGGCCGGTGAAGCTTTCTTGCTTCACTTACAGAACTCAAGGAGAAGGTTTAATGGGGAAGAAAGTCGCATGAAATAAGAAATTCCAGCACGTGGAATTGTGAAATTGTTATGGAAGTTAGAAAGGGATAATTACAAGGTAAGTCATCCAATTTATTAAAAGCTCAACCTTGTCTCTTAGCTTTCATATTATTATGATTATGGCATAATGTTTTATTAAGATTGATTTAGTCCCTAATTTTAGTAATTAAAAATTATATTGACTCTTAAAGTTTTTAGTTTTAACAATGGGTCCCCAAATTATTAATTATATTCTAATAAATTATTTTTATGGCGAGAAAAATTATTTGAAGTCGTATTTGTACGATAAATTGTCTGTGTTCTTTAGAAAAGGATTGGAAGTTATAAATCAAGTCGGTGAGCTGGAATTCAAGAGTAATATTTTGGGTTTAGTTGACGTACTGAGTCCGATTTCGAAG